ATGATTCTTTATGGCCCAAATATCGAGAATCAAGCAAGTAACTCTTCAAATCTCCAAGCTAGCCTTAGTATATCACAACTAATCCAGTATAACAGCTACCAGCGAAGCCGTGAGAAAGCAGTGAAAAGAGAGCGACGAAACAAAACCCGTGAAACTCCAGTTCCTCTTTACGTAGGATTATCCATACACGCAAAGACACGCAGCCGAGATCTCATAGAAACCATGCATGACTTGGGACTTTGTGTATCATATGATCGGGTTCTTTCCATCTCTACAGACCTAGGCAATRCAGTTGTCCGTCGTTTCCAGGAAGAGGGGGTCGTCTGCCCTCCCAACCTCCGCCTTGGCTTGTTCACGACAGCTGCAGTGGACAACATAGATCATAACCCTAGTTCTACCACTTCACATGACTCATTCCACGGAACTGGAATTTCCATGTTTCAGTATGTGACATCTGAGTCACAGGGTACCTACAGAGATGATTTTACTATCGTCAGGACAGCGACAAACACCAAAGCAGTTGTAGACCTACCCGAATCGTACACTAATGTCAAGCCAGTAACACTTCCAAGCAACGCTGCACTACCAGAGAAGTCTCGTCAAGAGCCAGAACAACATGTCAATACCACTACTAATGCCCTCGTAGAGGATCGAAGTTGGCTTGAGAATACGAACAATACCATTTTTACGACGGAGAACATTGAAAATGTTTCTTGGTCAGCTTATCACGCTAACAGAGGAAATCGTCACTACTGACACATGCACCATTTCTTCTCTTTTTCCAGACGAAGCTAAGTCGGTTGCCATGATTCGCCATTCAATGGATATGGTTAAAGATGCTGTTAATTATCTCAATCCTAATCAAGTCCCTGTCCTCGCTATGGATCAACCACTCTATGCCATCGCAAAGCAGATACAGTGGACGTGGGGGAATTCATATGGAGAAAGCAAATTTGTGATAATGTTCGGAGGACTCCATATAGAAATGGGCTTTATGAAAGTAATCGGGGAGTGGTTAGAGGACAGTGGCTGGACTACTACACTGGTAGATGCCAACGTCGCATCATCTGGAACAGCTGATTCGTTTTTGAAGGCATCAAACGTCACCCGCACAAGAAAAGCCCATCAAATCACAGTGTGCTGTCTCTACACCCTCATGGTTCGTGCATATGTAAAGTACCAAGAAAGCCTTCATCCAGATGAGGACACTCTGCAATTTGATGACTGGTGTAATCACCAGATATCAGCCTCTCCCCAGTTTTATTACTGGTACACCCCAATGCAACTTGAGCTCCTGTTGCTTGTATTTATCAGGTCTTTGCGTCAAGCTAATTTTAGCCTTTACGTCGACTCCATAGCCAAGATGATGCCATGGTTTTTTTCTTTCAGCCACACTAATTATGCCCGTTGGCTTTCCGTCCATCTTCACGATATGCGTGCTCTCAAGACAGAAGCGCCTGATGTCGCACAGCAGTTCACCAACGGCAATTTTGTTGTCCACAAGTCAAGTCGGAGATTTTCATCGATTGCTATAGACCAAGCGCACGAGCAGAATAACGCCATTGTTAAAGGTGACGGCGGTGCGGTTGGTCTAACAGAGAACGTTCGTGCACTTCGCCGATGGATGGTCTCAGGTCCGGAACTCGCAAGGCTAGTTAATGAATTTGAAAGTGGGATGAAACCAGAAGAGGAAAACCAACCTTCCACAAAGCACCACGAAGATCAGAAGAGCTTCCAAGCTTCTATCGCTAGGGATATTAAAGAACTTGTCTCTGTATTTGAAGATCTGGGCAACCCGTTTTTGGAAGATAGTGGGGATTTGATCGTCCTTGATACTAAGGAGATCGCAGATTCAGCTGCAGTAGCCAGGCTGCGTGCTATAGAAGACACCGGTGTGGAACAGTGCAATACCTTTATAAATGAGTGCTTGATTAAAGGCACAAAATCACTATACGATCCAACAAAGAGAAACAAGCGCAACTTCTTCTATTCGCCTGCACCTAACACATCTAAAGCACTTCAGCAAGTTGCGTCGCTAAAAAGCGATTGCTCCCTCTTTGCTCGTCTCTATATATCCTGCCAAACAAGAGAAGGAGATTTGGAGGAATTTTTTATGCACGAGAATCAAGGCTGTACACCTTCACTTTCTAATTTAGGAAAGCTACGCCTACCAAAAAAGAAGTCAGAGCTCGTTGACTGTTTGCAGTCCATCAGTCCCAATAGCTTTCACAGCCAGATGCCTAGTAATGTTCAAGCTGTAATTGTTGACGGTGCTGTAATTGTGAACATGATAAAGCCTGGTACAGAAACAACATTCGCTGGTTATGCTACAAACTCGTTTCTGCCATACATGAAAGCACAGCTACGCCATGCCCAGCGTGTAGACATCGTCTTTGATGAATACATAGATGACAGTCTGAAAGCCACTACTAGAAGTAACCGAGGGTCGGGAACTCGCATGCGCGTCGGTGCCAACGTTAAACTGCCGCGTAAGTGGAATGCCTTTTTAYGCGAAGACCACAACAAGCGGGAGCTTTTCAAGTTCTTGGCAGAAAGTTCAGTATCACAAGAAGAGATTGGTAAACAGGTCATTGCCACTTATGGACAACAAGTCCTATGCACTCCTTCGTGTGACACCTCTAGTCTTTCCCCCTGCAGCCATGAGGAAGCTGACAACCGGATGATGCTCCATGCTGCAGATGCCGTACAGCATGGCCATGACAAGATACTTGTACGCACAGTTGATACTGATGTCTTAGTGTTAGCCGTGGCGACATTCTATCAGCCTCCCTTTCAGCGCCAGTTAGAATTCTGTGTTGCATTTGGGACCGGAAAAAACCTCCGATTCATTGCTGTTCACGAGCTAGCAAACAGCCTTGGACCTGAGAACTCAAGGGCACTTCCCGTTTTTCATGCTTTCACTGGCTGCGATACTGTTTCCTGCTTTGCTGGTAGGGGCAAAAAGACAGCCATGGAAACATGGAAAGCATACCCTGAGGTGACCAGTGCTTTCCTGATGCTCGCCAGCCCTCCATGCCAGATCACAGAAGAGTGTTTCAAAATTCTGGAAAGATATGTCATTCTTCTTTATGACCGAACCAGTGATAAGTTTCAAGTTAACAATGCGAGGAAGCAGCTCTTTTCCCAAAAGGGAAAAGGTCTGGAATCAATCTCCCCTACAAGAGCAGCCTTGGTCGAGCACACAAGGCGTGCATCATACCAGGCAGGACACTGTTGGGGTCAGGCATTGATACCACAACCACGACTTCCAAGTCCGCAAGATTGGGGCTGGACCTACACCTCAGATGGATGGCAACCGTACTGGACATCCCTGCCTGAAGTCACGAAGTCGTGCCGAGAATTGGTTCGCTGCGGCTGCAAGAAGGGTTGTAGAGGAAAGTGCTCCTGCATCAAAGCAGATCTTAGTTGTACAGCCCTATGTGCCTGTGTATGTACAGTATGAAATGTTTTCCACCAACAGCTGATTAAAAAAACGCTGTCGTTTTGAATACGTTTTGAAGATATTTCAATTGATAAGTAACACATGGTAGTTGCATTTAGTTTCAATTTGAATTTCAAACCTGAAATGTGCCGTTAAGATTAAAAACCTTGTTTCAGTGTTTTAGTTTAGTTCTTTGCTTCCGGCTGGTCTCTGTTGACAAATTTTAATGCAGTATTTGACCAATTGGATTCTGGAAACTGTATTTAAAGGAAAAACTGCTTAATTACGAGATCAATATAATTTTCATTTTCCGACAATTTTACTTCCGGTTTGAGATGGCAGCCATTTTGAAAAGTYCCTTTAATAGCCGAACGCATCATATTTTTCGATGGCACCATATCATCATTCATTTATAACATGAAAACAATTCAAGTTGTAAAGTCCAAGCATTTTAACCAATTATTTTGTCATCTTCAGTCTCCGAAAAKTTTACTTCCGGTTTGAGATGGCAGCCATTTTGAAAAGTCCCTTTAATAGCCGAACGCATAATTTTTTTCGATGGCACCATATCAGCATTTGTTTATAACATGAAAACACTTCAATTTGCAAAGTCTCATCATTTTAACCAGAAAGTGAACAATTTCTGCACCTATCCGCCTCACTATGTACAAACTGTTACATTATTATTATGCAAATGATAAATTTCTTGGAGTTTTGACCTTATTTATTAAGATTATAAGCCATTCATATTCATGAAAATGGTTTATATTTCGAATGTATTAATCACTTCTCTTACGGGTTCATGAAATATAATAATAATAATAATAATAATAATAATAATAATAATATATGGCTKATATAGCGCTTACACAAGTCTGTTCTAAGCGCTTAGTAATATAACGTTAAAGGAATAAATAAGAAATTGAACAGGTTCACACGAGTAGAATAGTGTTAAGTATAAMCCTCCATAACCGTGAATTCTATAAATACGCATCACTCAAATCAAGAACTATTTCACTATTCAAGAGCTTACATCATGTAGAATTAGTATAAAGTATTGTTCTATGGTTCATGTGCACTTTAAACGATACCATCTGCAAAGGAAGTCGAAAATTGAAAAAAAAAAAAGCTTCTTTTATATTCCCTCTTTAATTTCGGTACAAATAGAATTACATGTATCTTAGTATCCTATGCCAATAACTGTCAGTGATTCAAAACCATTAAATGTAAAAAGCCATTTTTCAAGGAAGCAAAAGTGAAGTCAACCGACAGCTGTTAAGAATATTTTTTGTTTGTTATCTGATGAATTAGTAGGACAAAAGCTGATTTAACTGAAAATTGGAAAAATTATTTCGGTTTCAAAAGAGCTGTTATCTTAGTGTTTAGACCACCAGGGGAGAACAAATTTCTGATCTTTACAGAAATATTTACAAACCAACCATATTGAAAAAGCAGCAGTATGAGAGACGAGCAAACATTTGGAGGAAGATTATAATTCAACACTAAATAAGAATAACGGCAGAAAAAAATGGGTAATGTTGAAAACTGCCATCCCGAAGTAAGCGAGTTCTTAGGTCATCAATATGACAGCGAGGATTTTGAAGCAAATTCCATTTTCAACATTATTATTCACTCAATCCTAACGATGACAGCAACGCTGGGGAATGGAATGATTATCGTTGCCATCTTGAGATCCCAGAATCTACGAACGCCATCCTACTTACTGATAACAAGTTTAGCCTTCACTGATCTCCTGGTTGGTTTATTGTTTCATCCTCTGGATATTTCAATTGGTGTTTTATACCTGCAGGACAACGTCCAAAGTGTATGTGATGCCATGAGAGTGTTTATTTTYGTTACTACTTTCCTTGGAACACTTTCAGTTGCGATGGTCACATGTATCAGTATAGACAGATACTTGGCGCTTACTCTAAGACATCGATACACCATTATTGTCACCAAGAAACGAGTCCGCTTATTGATTGTAGGCCTATGGATCTTTTTCTTGCTCTTTTCATTCGCTACTCGACTGGAAGATACATACGTCATCTTTCACATTAGCGCCTTCTCGATATCGTTTTTCCTTTTGTCAACAACCTGTGTTTTCTACATCAAGTCTTTCAGAGCTCTTCATCTTTACACAGTCCAAGTTCACGCCCAACAACCAAACCCGTTGTTTGAWGTTGTCAGATACAAGAAAACTTTGAAGACAATGCTCGCGGTACTAGCATGTCTTCTACTCTGCTACGTACYAGCTGTTTGTATTGTCGTAGTTCGACTCACATTTGGTATTAGTAAAGAATCAGTGATTCTCTCTTCGATACTCGTAAGTTTTCTGGGTCTTAACTCAAGTATCAATCCAATTATTTATTTAGTTCGTTTCGCAGATATTCGAAGCGCTTGTCGTCAAATGTTAAGAGACCTGATACAATGAAATGACTATTTGCGCCGCTTGAATCCGACAATCACGTACTATAAACCTGAAATAGTGAAATAAAGTCTAGCGAAATGAAGCAACTGGGATAGAATTATGACCTTTAGACTTTATTATTCTCGTGGACCACAGATGAGACAACGATGAATATTTCATTAAGCACTCCTAAGCACTCCACTGAAATGTGTGGACAAGCTCCAGTAGTTCCAAAACCATAGAATGTATTAAACACATGACCCAAACTACATAATACTCTTTTAAGCGTTGTGTAAATCATACAATTTTCTGGTTCGAAAACAGAAGTGTATGTTTACCTTAATTAGTTGGAATAAATTGCATGAAATAATGATTTTCTTTAACATGTTATCATGGGCAGTAAGTTCAACTTTAAGGTCACATGACAATCTTTAGCTGCCATTCTGACCTTGCTATTATGTAAATTTTATATTACAACACACCAAGGGCTCTAAAACAAGCAGTGGCGACCTTTTCTACTACCCTGAGTGAGCGGAAAACTTAAATTGGCCCATGGACTAGGGGGAGCAAAACCAGAGAACCGAGAAGACAAATATGAAGAAAACCATAATCATCATCCATTACCACTTCCACCAACATCATCACCACTAGTATCATGGATTATCTCCATCGTGTAACATCATCGTCTTCATGATTATATTCTTTTTACTTTATTTTAGTCCCGCTGGGATCGGTATCGTATGAGTGAAGATGCTTGTTGATTTTCTTTTATGCYTGCTTTGAGGCTTGTTCTCCGGGTTATTCCTCTCTCTCTCCAAAATCAACTTTTAAATTCCAATTGGAATTTCAGTGGAATAGTTGAAGAGCTTCTCTTTAGAAATGCCACCGCTAAATCCCATTTCTTGATTTATTTATTGAAAGACAATAAGCGGCGCCGTAACCAGACCTTTTACAGAGAGGGTGCACATCGAATAAAATCGGACCATTGCTCGTTTTTTTTATTACCAACTCAGTGGCGTAACTAGGGATCTTGCAGGGAGGTGCACATGCAATAATTTGCAGAACCAAAAAGAAAAAAAGGTAACCAAAAGAAAGCAGAACCAAAAAAAAAAAAAAAAAATTAAGATGGATGAGCGGACCTTGAGCTTTTATGGGGGGTGCACGTGCACCCTGTGCTCCCCCCTGGTTACGGCCCTGATGAGAAATCATTTCAACATTCGAAGATTCTCAAAACCAATTTGTCCAATTTCTAGAAAAGCTAGACCAGCGTTGTTTACGCTTTGCAGTTTTTAACAATTATCAAGATAGCTATGAAAAATTACTCAACCGTATTGATCAATCTAGCCTATTTCACTGTAGATAATTGAAATAATAACTTACGTTTACAAGGCGTTACAATTCTTTGCCTCGCCATATATAGGTAAAATCTTTGACAAGAGACGGTTATCATACAATTTACGAGAGGAGCAAGCCGAAGAGGCAAACATATGCTTGCCTGGCTAAACAATAACAGCCAGAATGCTTGCTGACTAAACAATACAGGATGCTGAACAAAACATATAAAGATTCAAACCCAATGTAAAGAATAAAAAGAAAAAKAAATGAATAAAATAAAATGAAATTTCAATGCTCTGTGATTATGGGATTTGATTTTGTCATCTGTTCCATTGGCTGGGATCAAACACTCAGTTTTGAAAGAGTTTCTTTCTACATCAGAATCAATTGATTTCCCTCCATGAAAATGTCCAGCCTCTGAAATTCTGTAAAAATGTCCTAGAATGTAAGGCTGAAGTCCCTGGGGGTTGATTTTGTCATCATCCGTTTCATCAGCTGTGATCAAACACCCAGTTTTTTGAAGAGTTATTTTAAAAAGCCCTAGTCAATATCCACCTCCCTCCACGCTTGGCTGGCCCGTTTGGTCATCAAAATGCGTCTCATCTTAGATGGGATGCTGTCGTGTCATCATTCTCGAGCCACTTCTCCATTTTGGTTTGAATCCATTTCATATTAACCTCTGAATCCATCCATGAACATGGCTGGAATTAGACATCAATTTCCTTATTGTACTTATCTCTCTCCTCTGTTGTAACATTGCCTTTGCCTCTGAATACTATAACAGGCTTGAAACTCTGCTTGCCTTCCGCTCTTATGCAAAGTTGCAGTGTTGCCTGTCTCTTATCCAGTCCGGAGCCTGGTTGGGACACCCAAAACTGTTTGGTCTGAAAAATCGTATGTCTTATCGTGCTCAACRACGAATGGAAGAGGGACTTGGCATTATATCTAGGTCTCGGCAGCCATCTTCCATACTTGCTGTCTGGAACAGCATTGCTCCTTCTCCTTTTAGATTGAACAGATTTCTTTATACTCCTGGGAAATTGCAGGATTTTCTCTCTAGAATCATCTGCAGAATGCTTCTTCTTATTGGTTCTTCGCCTCAAAGAAATCTCATGTCTTCTTTTAAAACGCCGAAACCAGTTGTCACTTGATTTGAATTTGTAGGCTTCTTCTTTTCCATAGCGAATTTCGATTTTTTTCTTCATTCTCGATTTGATCCACAGCTTGGAGATTTTTCTGCCTTTTGCTCGTCTTAGCTCTCACGCCTCCTACATTTCTATCGTGTTTGTTGCGTAACACCGCGTGACACTTCTGTCATCATTTTATAACAAGCCTTATTCCATTTAACCACGAGACACTTGCTGATCTGATTTGCTTSAGCAACTTTCCATTTATATATTTCTGGCTATGGCATTGCTCAAAGATCAAGAGTTTGCTTCTTAAATTCTACCGTATATGTCTGGTATATGTCTTGCGTTTAGTGCTACTATGTTGCCTTTTGACCTCATTTGAAGCGTGCTTGGTTACGGAAATGTCATCAAAGCCTTCGTGTAGTTCCTAAATTTCTGGCACATCATTTGAGGCGGAGGTGATCTTGTTGGAGTGCAAAGGCATGGTGTGATCAGTGCGTTCAGTTCTTGGCTGCTTATTTCCGTGCTGCATTCAGATGGATGTTTGAATTGTATATGCAGATCGAGATATTGTTTCCCAAAGAGGGTTTGACTGCTAGTACGAGCTAATACTGCATGTAGAATCATACTTCAGCTTTAACTTTGACACCTTTCGTAGAGTTGCTTTAATCATATGTCTCCACTTCTAAATTCAACCTTTTGCTTGAAGCCACAATCAAAAAGAGTTCGATTCATGTTGCAAGAAATATGGCATGGAAAACGGTAATGGCGGGAATGTGGCCCCTCACGAATTACCATTTAATGAATTGAAAGAAACTATTAAGAACCTTAATTTTCTGTTCATTTTGCATCTATGTAATATTTAGGACATTAGATTTTAGTTTAATTTTTACAATCATATATAAATATTATTTTGAATTATTTATTTTATATCGATATATAATAAAAGAAAATCTAACCGTTTCAATTCCTAGTCAAAGAAACCTTAAGGAAACTTTATTAAAATGAAAAAATGTTTAACTGCTCCCCCCCCCCCCCCCCCCCCCCCCAAAACCTGACCCCCCCCCCCCTGGTGTTTTTCGATTTGTGATTTTTGGCAATGCCGGCGATTCGCGAGTCCCCCTTACAAGTGATAATTTCACCCCCCCCCCCCCCCCCCCCTCCATTCCCCCCCCAAAAGCCTGAATTAGATATGATCGTAAACAAAACCAAAGTCGTTAAATTTAGCAATCATGGTTTTAAGTGTAAAGGAAAAATATTTGAAATTTATCTGTATTGATACTTTCAATCGTGTTACTCGCTCAGTGTTTTATRCTGCCAAAAACTTGTATTATTCTAGATTATTACAGAATTTAAGGCATCTGGAACGCTCTTCCAGATGCCTTAAAAAGCGGACCCTTGTTTCAATGCTTTTAAAAGGAAAATAAAAAATCATCGATTTAGCATTGACAACACAGAAAATTAGTATTTTAAAATCGATGTATATTCGTATTTGATATCTATTATTTTATGTAATGCACGGCTTATAGGTAGACCAGATTTTTATTCAAGTAATTTATGTAGCTATATGATATAATAAAGTTTTCCAATTCCAATTCCAATCCATCCATGCATCCATATCTTATCTAAAAGATCAAATTTATAATGACTTAGAGCATGTAGTAACGTGGCCCTCTACCAATAAACTAACATTAAGTGACATTTCTCTGTCTGTTAATGGCATTGAACTTCTGAAACTAAATTTCTAGGTGCCATGATCGACGAAATCTGACTTGGCATTCCCACATTCAAAGTATAACAAAGAAAGTTTCTACGAATTTGGGAATACTCAAGAAAATTAGAAATGTCCTTGGCCAAGACTATCCCAACAGCATCTACAAATCAATAGTTGAACCGTATTTTAATTATTGTAGTTTAGTATGGGACAGCATTGTGTTAGCCGATAAACTGCAAAAACTACGAAACCGAGCATCGAGAATAATTACCGGGGCGCCATACCTCAGTGTAAGAACAAGCCACCTTTACCAAGAATTATTGTGGGTCCCACTTGATCAAAGCAGAATGCAGCAAAAAGCTATTATGATGTTTAAAATAGTTAACGGTCTTGCTCCATGCTACTTAAAAGAAATTTTTACCAATCATCTTGGTTCTCAAGCCGGCATATAATCTACGTTGTTCTAGTGACAACCTAAAACTACCCAAGGTTAGAACCGATATATATAAAAATGGCTTCGCATACACAGGGGCGAAACTATGGAATTCTCTTCCTGAATCTTTAAAGAAAGAACGTTCCTTATCTGCTTTTAAAAAGAAAATCAAGTGCTATGATCTCTGCATCGACAGCTAGTATTTATTATTACTTTTTCTTGAATTGCAAATAATATATATTTATTCATATGTTAAGTTTGTATTTTTAATTTTGTACATAATTAGTCGTTATACGACCATGCATCCATGCATCCAATCATCCATCCATCT